TCCGGCTCGATCACAATAAAATATTTATTTGACAAAAAATAATTATAATTTATTAAATAAATATATATATAAAACATTTGTCTAAAACATACGAAGGCCTTCGAATTTAATTTGTGATCAACCATAATCAAAACAAAATAAATACAAATAGCACTGATGCAAATATTGAGAATATAGACCTCTAATTATTAATTACATAACTACCCAAAGTGTCGATCTAAGGATCCCGAGGTATCCGCCGAACAAATCAAAGTAATTATTAATTAATAAAAGAGTCTATACTTCTCTCATGCTTGAGAGTCAAAAGCCATGACTGTGATAGAGAGCAATTGCATACGATAGCTCTCACAATATATTTCAATCTATCGTGGACTCGGTTTAAGTCTTAACTAATTAAATGTCCATCCATAATTACCGACTTTAAACCATTTATGATTACTAATTTATATCATAGTATTAATTGCCATTACATACATATATAAATATATTTTGTAATCAAGCGGACACCATCAATTCCATAAAGAATCGAAAAATAATGCATTCCATTCACCAATTGTATAATGCTTTAATAATAATATCCAGACAAGAAACCATGACTTTTACAATCCAAAATTAGAATTTGCTTTGCTAGGGCACACATATCCTAACAATTGGATCATGGTTAATGAGAGATTGAGAGTAGAGTAGACTGTGTGTGTGATTCGTGATTTGAATTGCGTTATTCCTAAAAAAAATGTTATTATTTAGGTTGGAGGGAATTGGAGTCAATAAAATATAAAATTAGGAATTAGAATTCCTTCAGCCCATTTTTTTTTTTTTACTATAATATTAGCTTATATTTTTATGAGATTACCTATAATTATAGAAACTTTTCTTTGGATGGAAAACATTCTAAAGTTATACCCATTTGTATTCCAAAAATTCTAACTATTGCATTTATACTATATATAAAAACAAAATGGATGATAGATAACAAACATATTTTTTTGGACTCTTTTTATACTGGTTGTGCCCGAATCAAAATTCTCTCAAAAAAATTAAAAACAAAATTATAAGAAAACTCAATATACCCGAGATGAGAGAGATGAGAGAGATGAGGAAATAGAGAGAGCTTGGGAAGATTCTGGAAATTTTCTTCGCAAACCGTCGCCGGAGAAAAAGGCTAGAGCTCGCTGGAAGTTGCAGAGGGCTGCTGGCGTTTCTCGTTGGCGTAAATAGGCCAGAGAAAGAGAGAAGAGAATTCGAGAGTGTAGAGAGACGCGATGAAGAGAGAACTCTTTAGATCTTCATACACAATCGTCGATTTCAAGCCCAATCTTCAGACATCGTCGAAATTTTAGAGAGAAAAAAAGGATAAAGTATGTTACACATGAAATAAGAAGAACTAGAGGAGCCCACCATGAAATAGGGTCGTCGATTTGTAGAAGACGTTGTGCATACTGGAGTCGCCGAATCGCCTCAGTTGCGCGATATAAACCCTAACCCTAGAACATTGTTACAATTTGTAATTATTCATGTTCTCAAATCAGAACAAGTTTGGCATTTGTTGCACCTGCTACAGTGATAACTGAGCCGATCAAATTTTTGGAACAAGCCAGAACACTATATTCTTGTTCCAACTTTTGGCCCATTTTTAGAAATTGTTCCAACACTGTTGAAACCAACACATGCCGTACCAAACATATTTTGGGCCTCAATAGTGGTACTGTAGTGGGCTGAAACATTACACCACAAAACATTACACATACCAAACAAGGCCTAAAGATATTCATAAAGGGGTTTTTTGCAAACGGGTGAAAGTCGAGGAGGATTTTTTGCAATTCACCTTTTTATATATTTCATTTATTTTTAATGCTTTATACGTATCCGGAAAAGGAACATCATGAACTAATATTATAATATGCTGCATGCGCATCAATTTTTCGGCCTACACGAACTAATGACAGATTTGAAGGGCGCGAATCACCTGCAGTGAGGTTCTTATGCGGTTTCCTGCTGTAATTTTTGAGTGGTCCATATTTGGCCACATCATTCTTCAGCTAACGGACGCTAAGGCCATGTTTGGCCAATTACATCACTATTTATAAGTAACATTTCACCACTATTTATAAATAACATCACAGTGCAAACTAAGTAATGTCATATATAAATATAACTCAATTTAACATATCATTTATGTATTTAGACTATGTGATATTACTTTTGGACTTCTTTGATATTACTTATAAATGATGGTGAAATGTAAAAATATATATACATCTAAATATTTAACACCCAATTCAGCAAATTCAAGTTTTGGACTAAATTTTAGACACCTAATTGAAAAAATCGATATAATTGTGCAATTTTAACACTAGACATTATTTTGAGCACTCAACTAAGAAAATTCAAATAAAATTAAGAAATCAACCAGGATTAGAATAATTTTAGCATTTCCACAAATAAATTAATCAAATTAAGCATATATTCAACAAATTATGAAATTACTTGTAGTGCTTGCATTTTCAAAAAATACAATTTTTTTTAGAGGCATTAACTACAATAATTCAATAAAGGAATACATTTCACCAGCATTTATAAGTAACATCACAGTGCAAATTAAGTAATGTCACATATAAACATAACTCAATTCAACATATCATTTATGTATTTAGACTATGTGATATTACTTTTAGACTTCTGTGATGTTACTTATAAATGGTGGTGAAATGTAAAAATATATATACATCTGAATATGTAACACCTAATTCAGCAAATTCAAGTTTTGGCCTAAATTTTAGACACCCAATTGAAAAAATCGATCTAATTATGCAATTTTAACACTGGCCTAAAATTTTCAATTGGGTGTCTAAAATTTAGGCCAAAACTTGAATTTGCTGAATTGGGTGTTATATATTTAGATGTATATATATTTTTAGATTTCACCACCATAACCCTAGTCAAGTATACAATGCTATAAATGCTCTTGTAACATGTAAATATGAAAACTGAAATGATTCCAAATTTTCAGCTATATCAACACAAACTATACAAACTGCGGGCTCTCTGATTTCAAAGAAGCTATTCCACCTAACAGAGCAACTACATTTTTTCCTTTTACAATACACAAGAATACCCATATGGGGCAATTTTGCTGCAACTCGAGATTTATGAATTAAAAAAAAAAAAAAAAAAAATTTACATGACAATGAAGAAGTCAAGCTTTATTAGGATCTGTCCCATCTTGCACGTCCACATTGCTCCTTTCTGCGGTAGTGTTACAATGAAGCAGCAGATGCTGAGTGGCTAATAAAATCCTTTGGCTCTCACCGGAAGAAGTAATGCTACGGCCATGCCTGCTCCTGCCTTCAGGAATAGAAGCAGATGCCGAAGTCCGTGCACCCTCACTTTCAGGCAAGGTAGTAGATGCCATAACGTGTGCACTCTCACTTTTAGGCAAACCAGCAGATGCCATATTAGTGGATGGAGCAACCTCTGCTTCACGGCATTTACTTGCTCCATATTTTGTGCATTTACTTATATTTTTTTGAAAATACAAGCACTACAGTAATTTCATAATTTGTTAAAATATATGCTTAATTTGATTAATTTATTTGTGGAAATGCTAAAAATTATTCTAACCTGATTGATTTCTTAATTTTATTTGAATTTTCTTAGTTGAGTGAATACATAAATGATATATTGAATTGAATTATGTTTATTTGTGACATTACTTAGTTTACACAGTGATGTTACTTATAAATGGTGGTGAAATGTTACTTATAAATAGTGGTGTAATTGGCCAAACACGACCTTAGTGTCCATTAAGTGAAGAATGATGTGGCTAAATATAGACCACTTAAAAGTTACAGCAGAAACCGCATAGGAACCCCAGTGCAGGTGATTCGCACCCAGATTTGAATGGGAAAAGGGTATAATCATTCAGCCATTCGTGGAGAAAAGTAGGAATTATTTGGAAAGAAAATTTGATATTTTCATTAATTTGGCAAAAAATATGGTCATAAATTTGAAAATACTCCAAAAAAGTAGTTCGGACCAAGGAGTCAAAAACGAAAAAAAAAAATAATAATAAAATTATAATATTTATACTTTTGGCTGTAATTCTTGGAAATCTTTTTTTCTTTTTTCTTTTTTCTTTATTTTTTTTTTTTTTCAAATCTGGACTATGGGATGGTTTCAAATAAAATAAAATAAAAAATTACACTGATTAATTAATATTCAAGAACCTTGCAATAATTGGGCCTGAGAAATTAGAAGAGTTGGAGAAATTGATAACAATTCAAGGGAAGTTCGGTTGGTTAGGTTGATTATCATGGTACAGACTCTCTACTTCCTCAAAGTCTCTAAAGAGATCATGATACATAGTCATTTCATTGATGTGCAGATAATCTATTTTGTGCTGCAAATCACAACCAATAATAAGCTAACATCAACTCATTCTTAAATTTAAGCCACCAATTCATTCTTAAATTTAAGCCACCAATTCATCATATCTCCATCTTTGGATGACTCTGTTAGTTCAGTCTCAAACCGGACTAATCTTCTTATCTAGGTGTGGGAAGACAATCTCATCTTCGGGGTGAAGGAAGATTTCTTTAGCTGACTCTGTTAGTTCAGTCTCAAAGTCGTTCAGAACGGTGCCGGACTAATTATCTAAGTGTGAGAAGACAATAAGATATCTTTGGCTGACTCTGTTAGTTGTCGTTCAGAACGGTGCCGGACTAATCTTCTTATCTAAGTGTGAGAAGTGGTGTGAGAAGGCAATCTCGAACCAGATCATTGAGTCTATAAGGGCGAAGATGGAAGTTTCATACCCTTGTACTGAGCGGTTCCAAAAAACACCTCATGGTATAAAAATTCCCAAGACCCTCCATTCCGACATTCATATTCATACTCAAACCCATCAGATTTGTACAATTTCAGATTGTTAAAACTCTGAAACATTTCCAAAATATATCAACAAAAATATGTAATTAAGAACAAATGATGAGATTCAATACCGCGTGATTTGCATCAAATCTTCCATTGATTTCTTCTTCAAAGTCCTTGTTTCCTCTCCTAAAAACCAAATAGCATCAATCTGAGCATTAAACCCCTTGAAAATATAATGAAAAAGAGAGAGCGGCAGCAGAGAACAAAGCAAACCCTAGTTTATAATGAGAGCCGCATAAATCGAACAAAACCTAGTTTATATGTCGATCCATCTGGCAATTGGTATCAGTGTTTCAATTAAGCCCAATAGGCTTTAGACAAAGGAAGAAACCAGTCCAATATGATGCCTTGTGGCCCATTGAATATATATATATATGTTTTAAGTGTATTTTCTTGTTATAACTTGTACGTTATCTTTGCTTCAAAACCTTCTTTCTATAACCTTTAGAAAGGAGAATTTAAAATAAATAAATAAAACTGTTTTATTTTGCCCAAGACTCATGTATTTTTTTTTTTCCTAATTGATACTCACACACATACTTCCACTAAAACTAAAATCGTTGACCTCTCTTTGAAAAATAGGGACTTAGTACCACTAGGCCACTGGCCTGTTGGTACAATTAAACTGTTTTCATTATTCAAAACAAGTTGATAGACAAATTATTGCAATCCTTAAATTCTAAGGCCATGCTTGGAATGGATTTATGAAAACTGTTCTCAAGAACAATTTTCAGAGAACAGTTTTTAATTTTTTCAGATTTCAAGCCTGTTTAGTTAAGAGAATTTACAAAATAGTTTCCGAAAAACAAAAACTCATAAAACTACTTGGTTGTATGAGTTTTTGAAAATAATTTTCTGAACTAAAAAAATAAATAAAAATATTGTATATCACTTTTTTATTTCTTTAAATGAAGATATTAATTATTAATGTGTGTGTGTGTGTATATATATATATATATATATATAAGTGTTGGAAGTGAATTCATTTTAGCAAGTATACTTAATAAAAGTTGCACAAATACATTATATCAAATTTAATTAAAATTTGACTAAATTGAAATACAATAAAAGAGTTACATTAATTACTTCAAATGTCATATACACTTTTAGCTGTACAAACATTAATTTTAGTCATACATAACCGAAACAAAATATTAGAGAATTACACAAATAGGTAATCAAAGCAAAACATTGGAGAATTATAAAAATAACTTCATCTAGCATTGCCTCTGAATGATGCCCACATTTGATTTGTCAGATGAGTTCTAAGGGCTCCCATTTGTGCTACACCATCAAACAAGCGGCATGGTCATTCAACAATTCCTGAACATACTCATGATCTGTTAACCCCGAAGTTCTTTTTGGTACTTTGGATTTAAAGGAATCTTCATACTTCTGCATCAAATTCAAATACATACAATCTACAAGGTCATCAAAATCTTCATTTGAATCACTAGAATATGAAGACGACGTGTCACTCCAATCTATGTCCATCTTGATTTTCCAAGAACCTAGACAAAACAAAGTTGATGTGCTATAATTAAACTAAAAAATTGAAGAATAGTTTTTTTTGAAAAAAAAGAAAATAAGAATCAAACAAGCTTTAATATGATAGTACTTGCATCTTGGGACAACCATTATTTTTTTTAGCAACTAGGAAGATAAATTATTGATATTATTCAAGTGTAGGGCATGTCAATGGAATTTGAACTGAAATTGGATGTTTAAGAAGAAGGTGACAATTGCAAAAAGGTGTTTCAACTGTGTGCGTGTGTATATATATAGTGTGTGTGTGTGTGACAATTGCAAGAAGCTACATAGTGTGTGTGACAATTGCAAGAAGCTACAGAGGTGATATTCTAGTGTGTGTGTGTGACAATTGAAGATGGTTATTGATATTCTAGTGTGTGTGACAATTGCAAGAAGCTGCAGAGCTTGAAAAGCAACATACCACTAAGACAGAAAAGTGAACCCATGTCTAAGAGAAAACAATCACCCAACCCACCATTACCACTAAGACAGAAAAAAAAAAAAAAATTTAGTACTTTTACTTTCCAATTGAAACATTTATTTTGGTTCAGCCAAAAATAAAAGGTAGACATTTTGTAATGAAGCAATCTTACCATTGCACCAAGTCTAACCACTAAATAGAAGTTTTCAATAATCCTGGGCACACACTGCTCTAAAGCATGGTTACGAAATGAAGAAATGGTGGCAGTGAATCTGCTCCAAACAATCACTAGCTTTTTCAAAGAAATTGGCTGCTACTATTTAAGTGCATTACCCAATGTATGCTCCATCCAAACATGATTTTGGAGAGGAAACTAGCTACTAAACTCAAAATGATACACAAACCAGCTAGGTCTCCAAAACTAAAGCTTTGCTACATCAGAGAGTTCCTATAAATTCTCTTTTTGGTTCTTTCAAGTGTCAATGGATATATGCAAAATTCTCACTTCAGTAGAGCTTACTCAAAGTGAATGCCATCATCAAAATTAGCTTCTTTATTTTTAAAACCAGTAAATTTATATTAAAAGACAAAGAACAGGACAGTCATCCATGGAAGGTTTGTGTATCTGAATTATATAATTATATAAATATATATACGATGGTATCAAAATCTTCATCTGAATCACTAGACGATGAAGATGATGTGTCACTCCAATCTGTGTCCATCTTGATTTTCTAAGAACCTAGACAAAACAAAGTTGATGTGCTATAATTAAACTAAAAAATTGAAGAACAGTTTTTTGTAGCTCCCAAAACAAAAAACTATTTGAGATCATCATCATGGCTTTGCAATGGATCATGAGTGTTATGGGTGCAATTGATGAATCAACGTGGCCTGTCTAAATGAAAATCCATTGTTGTATTTAGAAGCGTTACTAGATCAGTTTATAACACACACACACACACACGCATATATATCTTCTGGTTAGATTCAGAGGCTTAACAAAGATTTCAAAAAAAAAAAATATTTAAGTAATTAAAAGTTGTGGCTGAAGGAATTAAAAGCTTAAAGAGGATGGAGCTGTTCTAGTATTCTTTAAATGAGAAGAAAAGGAAAAAAAGGGAAAGAAAAGAACTACCAAAACTTAATTCTGATTGTTGGAAGGTTTGAATGATCAGGGGATTGTGTGAGGATCGGGAATGACTTTCCTTAAGGTTCTTTTTGACTTTAGAACAAAGGACTTCTGGATTGAAAGGACTAGAAAACTAACTGAAAGTGAGTATGAATTGTAAGTGCTGGACTGAAAGTAAAGGACTGGAAAGATAACTTCATTACTAAAAAAATTGAAAGCACAAGTGCTGAAATGTAAAGTGTAGGAAATTAAAGCAATTGAAAGTGCAAGGATAGATAATGAAATGATAATTGAACTGCTATTGGTTTTGTTTGTTGAACAGGGTTGTAAATGTCTCCAATCAATTGTACTAATAGGTCTACTAGTTTGCGGCTTCTAAATAGTCTCAAGTCTTAACCTTCATACAATTCCAACATTAGTTGGTCTCTAAACAAAAATCTTCTAAGCAGCAATATGTCAGTTTTGTATCTTCGAATGGAAAAGCCCCTTGAGCCAGTATTCAATTATTGATGCATCTTCTCAATGACTGCCAAAGAACTTGGGTGTGATTGTGTAACCTTCTCTGTTTTTTAATCTTTTCTTTTCTTCCTTCTATAACCTTCAAATTTCAATCCTTCACATCTTTTAAGATTTTCATTCTTTTGGTGCTGAAAGTAAAGACACTACGTAAGTTTATATAGAACCCCTCATTGTTTTTTTTTTTTTTTTTTTCCTCTGTTTTATCTTTCACCATCTATTTCTTTGCTTTCTTTTCCTCTTACTTTATTAAACCCTTTTTTTAATCAAACTCTTTAATCCTTCACCATCTATTTCTTTGCCTTTTCCCTCTTACTTGATTAAATTCCTTTTAATCAAACTCTTTTATCTTTACCATCTCTTTTATCTTTCACAAGTTGTTCTACACCTATGTGGTACCAGTTTAAGGCTTCACCACTATGATATATAATTATGTATACGTTTTTTTTTCCTAGTTTTCACCGCTACGATATATAATTATATATACTTTTTTTTTCCTAGTTTTCACCACTATGATACCACAAAGTGGGATATCAAATGTAGAGAGAGAGAGAGGTCATTATCAAGTGTGGTCCCTGTTAATCGACGGTTCAAGGGTGCTGGTAGGGGAAAACTAACTACAAACCTATCCTTTGGCATTTTTTTTCACAAATTGTCTACTCTCAGGATACACACCCACATCCTCGCACTTGACAACCAAGCCTTTAACCACTGCAATAGGCAATGGCCACTTAAAAGTGGGATATTATATATATATATATATATATATATATATAGTTCAATTCAAACCCAGTAAAATATGCTATACAAAAAAAAAAAAAAATCAGTAAGAATCAAACACAAGTCACAGTTAAATATGGCCACTACATAATTTCATTCTGCTACTGCAGAGATGGACCATATATATATATATATAGACTAATTTATACATACACATATCAAATCCCTAAACTGAAAACCCCAAATCCCTAAACTGAAAATCAAATCCACAGCAAAACTCAAACAACCAACAAAATACATAATCAAATCTTGATACCAACTCATCCAACCAACCAAATCTATAACCAGATTCACAAAGAAAACAAAATCCATAACCACGAAAACTTGCTAGAGAAAAAGGAGTGTGATTTGTGTTTACCTCAACAAAATCTGAGCAAGAGTTGGATCTAGAGGAGAGAAGTGCGCGCAGCGATATTGCAAAGAGAAGCGGTGGAGAGGAGAGAGAAGCCGTAGAGAGGAGAGAGAAGCGGAGAAGCCGTAGAGAGGAGAGAAAAGCAGAGAAGCCGTAGGTCTGTTATGTCCGAGAGCCGCATCCCATTTTTTTTTAAGTGCACAGTGTTCTCCACATTGCTTCTCCGTGTTTTCAGAAACTCCCAAAACAATATTTTGTTGTTTTCACAAAACTGATACTCATTGAACTCAGTTTTATGAAAACAGTTTTCATAAAACAGGTTCCAAGTAGATAAAAAAATTAAAGAACTATTCTTTGTAACTCCCAAAGCAGAAAACTGTTTTGGGAGAACCATTCCAAGCAGGGCCTAAATTTGGTTGCAGACTTGCAGTTGTATCAACATGCAACAGAAAAATTCATTAACAATATTTGGTCTTTTGTTGCTTAGGTACCAATATCAACAATATAAGCCAAAACTTCCACTAAGATCTAAATAACTTGACAACAACATGCAATTTAACTTGTATACATTGATGATTATGATAATGATGATGTTCAATTGATACAAAAAGGAAAAGAGGATCTCCCTAAATCATAGTTGTTAAAGGCGCGCTTAGACTCAAAAAAAGCCCCAGACTCGTCAAGGCTTAGCTAGAGTGCCTCAACCTATTATAGGTCAGGCCCCTTCAATCAGGCTCACATAAAGCCCTCAGGCTCACACTTTTTAGTAGGCTCAAAAAAGGCGCGCCTTGTATTTCTAATCATTTATTCGTATCATTTTCTTTTTTTACTTAATGACTACTAAATTAAAAGGTTCTATAACATATATCATATTGTTTTTTTTTTTTTTTTTTTCGAAAATTAAAGCAATTTTCATAAATGGGTAAAAATTACAAGAGGAGGGCCTTTGGCCCAAAGTAGAAAATACAGAAGCGCCTAGGCAGCAAACAAGCCCAAAATAGGGGCCAAACCAAAAACAAAGTAACTTCCACTAACTGAAGTTGAAAATGGAGTCACTAAACATTCCGGTGGATGAACAGCAACGGCGAGGCCGACACGAACTAGTCCGGCGGCTAAGGAGGAGGCCTGCAGTAAGACGGCAAGAGATTCCAACCTTGAAGAATCGATCTAGAGGAAGAGCAGTCCCTCAAATAACCCAATTTCAGAATGCAGCGATTGTGGATGAGACCTTTGCACAAGCCACTCTCTGCGAAGATTTTTGACCTTTGAAGATTCTTGCATTTTTTTCTTCCCAGGTATGAAACACTAAAGCAGAAAAGCATAGTTTCCTATGTAGATTAATAGGAGTGTTAGCTTTACACGGATTGCTGATCCACATCACTAAGTTGTCCCAATTGTCGATTGTCGTGGGAATGCTGGTCTTGTATTTGATGAAACGCCAAAGAGGCGACGTGAAAGAGCAGTTGAAGAATAGATGACTGTGAGACTCAGTAGACAAATTGCACAAAGGGCAAATATTATGATGAGAGGCCATTGATTTGCTGTCGAGAGTTGGCAATTTGGATTGAACAACTAACCAAAGATTGAATTTCATTCTTGGAATGGTGGGAGAGTGCCAAACAAGATCATGCCATGGGACAGTGGTGAACTCACCTGAAAGGTGTGCAAGAGTGTGCTTAAAGGAGTATATGCCTGTTGGTGAAGCTATCCATCTCTTGATGTCTGATCTGTGAACAGCAGGAGCCGAAATGGTTAGCAATTCAGGGATTAAGTTTGTTAGAATTGGAGGGAAGTTCCAATTGTTGTTCTCAATGAAAAAATCCATAGTAGTAGCCTCAGTGGCTCCACCCTCATTAAGCAAGCTGATTAGAAACCTTGAACGCAATGGACCTCCAGGAGCCCAGTTGTCCCACTAGAATGAAGTTGAGGTACCATTGCCAATAGAGTGTTTAATGAGTAATCTTGTAGTGTGCCTTAGTTGAAAGATTTTCCTCCAACTCCATGAGCAAGGTTGAGGATAGTTTAATGTCCAGAGATTCCTTGACTTAAGGAGGTGAGAGTGGCACCATAATACCTAGAGCCTATTTGATTCATCAGTTAGGAGTTCCCAAATAAATCTGATGATCCCAGCCTTGTTTGCAATTTCCAAGTTGGGGATTCCCAACCCACCAGCATGTTTAGGACTGCATACCCTATTCCAAGCCACTTTAGAGCCTGTGGATTTCATCTCTGGGCCAGACCAGAGAAATCTCCTGAAAATCTTGTTAAGTTCATCTATAATAGCCTTTAGTAGAATGAAAATATTGCACCAATAATTTTGTGTAGAGATCAAAACAGACTTAATCAACTGTAGCCTACCTGCGTAGGAAAAGGGATCTAGAGGTCCAATTAGTGATCCTGTGGGTGATCTTGCTCACCAATAAGCTGCAGTGTTGGGCCTTCAAGTTAGTGGAGATCAAAGGTACACCAAGGTATTTCACTGGAAGTGTGCCTGCATTGATTCCCAATAATGAAGTGATATCATACTGAGAATGGTCATTGATTCCAGAGAAATAAACTTCACTTTTTAAGAGATTTATGTCCAGGCCAGACATTGAGCAAAAGAGGTTGAGTGCAGACTTAAGGACTGAAACTGAGCAAATGTCCCCATGGCAGAAAAGAAGCAAGTCATCTGCATAGGACAAGTGAGTTATTTTTTGCTGCCTGCACCTCCAATGGTACTTAAAGGATGGCACTCTCTCCACGTAGTTACTGACTATTGAGGAAAAAACATCCATAACTATTACAAAAAGGAAATGAGAGATTGGATCTCCTTGTCTTAGACCTCTGTACCCCTTGAAAAAACCTTGGAATTCACCATTAAGAGCAATAGTGAATGAGGAAGAGGAGATGCAAGCATTGATCAGAGAAACAAATTTTGGTGGGAAGTTGTGTAAGGTAAGGCAGTTGATGATGAAATCCCACCTGACTGAATCAAAAGCCTTTTTGAGGTCAACTTTAATTGCACATCTTGCTAGTGTTCCATGCTTATGATATCCTCTAAGCAACTCATGTGCTAAGAGAATGAGGTCTGAGATCCTCCTTCCATGAACAAAAGCTGACTGGGATTGGTTGATAAGGTGGGGTAGTGTTGACTGTAACCTTGTTGCAAGTAATTTGGAGATACATTTGTATATGGTGTTTACACAGGAAATGGGTCTGCAATCATGAAGTGTGGTTGGGTTCTGGCATTTGGGGACCAAGGCAATGTAGGTATTGTTTGCCTCTGCTAGGAGCTTGCCATTTCTGAAAAATTCTGAGATTGCCTTTATTATTGACCTGCCAATTGTACTCCAAGCTTTTTGAAAGAATAAAGCGTTATAGCCATCTGGACCTGGGGCTCTATCTTTGTTAAGTCTCAGCATACAGGTCTGAATCTCCAAAGGTTATGGCATTTCTTCAAGATAGTAATGAAGGTCAGGGAAAATTTGCTTGGTTATGAAAGGGGCCGAGTAAAAAATATGGTAGGTTGGAGATGGAGGTTGTCCTAACAAGGACTGAAAATGATTAACCACTTGCAATTTGATGTCATTCATGTTATGAATTGTTTGTCCATCATCTAAGGTGAGTGAGACAATTTTTTTTTCCTGTTATTCCTTGAGGTAAGTGACCTGTGGAAGAAGGAAGAGTTGCAATCCCCCAATTTTAACCAAGTCATTCTTGACTTTTGCCTTAGGATATCTTCTTGAATTCTCCCCAGCCTCAGAAATTCTGATGTGAGAGCCTTTTCCAACTCTCTGAGTGTAGTGTCACTAGGGGTTGAATCTAGATCCATTTGGTAAGCCTGAAGTTCAAGTTGAATTGCATGTAGTTTGGAATCAATTTATGAAGATTCTCTACTACAAGAGTTCCTAAGGACAGGTTTTAGTAATTTAAGTTTCTGGACAACTTGAAACATTATTGTACCTTTTATGTATGTGTTCCAGACACTTTGGACTGAGGAATTAAATTTGTGGTGTGAAGTCCAAGCATTGAGGAATCTGAATGGAACTTGTCTTCTTAGGATATTGAGGTCAATTGTAACTAGAATTGGACTATGATCAAAGATGCCTGGAGTGAGGAAGCAACAATCTGAGACTGGAAATGCAGATGTCCACTTCTGGTTCACTAGAGCCCTATCAAGCTTCTTTGCAATGCAAGCATCCCCCATGCTTTTATTAGACCAGGAATAGAGTCTACCACTGAATTTCAGGTCTTCAAGTTCAGCATTCTGAAGGCAATCCTTAAAGTCTGACATAGCATTGCTCCATTTTCTACAACCACCATGTTTTTCTCCTATGTTAGGGATGACATTGAAGTCTCCTATTAACACCCAAGGGGCTTGGGCAAAGATTTCAGCATGGTGAGTGATATCATCCCACAGAGACTGCCTTTAAGAGACACAATTAGCAGCATAAATTAATGCAGTGAAAAAGGATACATTTTGACCAATGATTGTGAGAGAGCAGTGGATTGCTTGTCTGCTACAATCAATAACTGAGAGTTTGATGATGTCTGGATTCCAGATTATCCAGATTCTTCCTAACTCTGAGAAAGAGTAGTTATCTGTGATATATCATATTGTTTAACCTTGAGAAATATTTGACAAAATTCATAAATTTATGGTTCACTACTAACATTAACTGCAATTATTGCTTGATTATGAATATATATAATAATATATTGTTAATTATACATTATTATATACGCGCGCCTTACTTCGATCAAGCTCGCGCCTTATACTGCGCCTTGCGCTTAAGCTCTAGAAGGCCTTTGGCGCCTTAGTGCGCCTTAAGCCTTTAACAACTATGCCCTAAATGCCTGTTATACATTTGTACAAAAAATTCCTAGGTAGATAAATTCAAGTACAGCTTGGTGGGTTTAAACACTTATATACAGCAGATGCAGGTCGCTTGTAAGTAGGTATGCTACTAGGATCAACAAATCTGACTTCACCGGGACTGAAAGAAAGATCACTGTGCCTGTAAAAATTTACAACAAACAGAAATTATGTTTAGCCAAAAATTAAAGGAAGCTAATTCAAAGTTTAGGAACATTACAGATTATGAGTTACCTTCGGAGATCAAGTCCCACTAAACCAGCTTGTAGGATTGTTAAGTTGTCAGAATCTGGTGAGACAATAATGACTGTGTCCTCGGAGTACTGGGTTTCAAGAATTGACATGAGTTGAGTCACACGGACAAACACATCCGCAACACTCTCATTTGGTGTTCCATCATCAATAGGGGGTGGCTTGATGTTCATAGAAAGACTATCGGATGCATATACCTGAGACATTTCATGTAAACAATACTACATTCACAAGGTTACTGGCATGAAAAAATTGGTTGACTGAACAATTTACACCCTAAAGAGTGCGAACATGCCAATATTTCCGGGTAGGATGCAAAGGCCCGCTAATTGAAATGAAGTAGGGTTTAATAAAATTGTCACAATAAGCAAGAGTCCATCTACCAAAATACTAACATGCATATATAAAGCCATTCGCGATTATGTACTTATCAACCACGCAAAAACCCCTTGCTTCCAAAAATGAAGAAATTTTATTAATGATCCACATTGTAGAGAGAGATGAATCATAGCAGGGTTTGATATAATTGTCACAATACTCGACCGACGACAATCCATCTACTAAAATACTAACATGCATATATAAAGTCAGTCTCGATTATGTACTTATCAACCACATGAAATCCCTACTTCAAAAACATTCAGAAATTTAATGACCCTACATTGTAGAGGGAGATATAATCATAGCAGCATAATTTTCACAATACTCAATAGTCCATCTACTATAACACTAGCAAGCATAAATAAAACCATTCACAATTATGTACTTGTCAACCACACAAAATCCACAAGTAAAACAAATAACTCTTCTCCTTGGCTGTGCCGCGGGAAGTCTCGGGCTTAGTTCAGAGGTTTTGTAGGCTGGTCCTTCTACTGGAATCACATATTTCAGTGTTCCCTTCCTTCCTTTCTCCTGGTAGGTTAGGTTAGGGTCCTTTGTGATTCTTTTTTCCTTTCCTTCCAATTTTATTTTGTCATGTAGGGCATCTAATGGCTTACCTTGTAAATTTCTTTCCTTTGTGTTTCTTTATTTACGAATATTTTCCTTGTAAATTTCCCCCGATCATCTTTTTATCCTTCTTATTTAGATTTTTTTTTGTTTATCTTTCCGTTTTTTTGTTGTCCATTCTTTCTTCCTACCATAGGCTCTGCAATTTTTGTCTTTAGGGTCCTCTTCCTGCATCCTTATGGAGTGCTCTTTACTTGAACAGTTAGAGCACTTCTCTCTAACTGGTGTCGAGGAGGAAGAACTGGAGTTGTCTAATGATGACATCCAGGAGGTTATTGAGGCTTGCGAACGGAGTGTTGTTGGGAAAATTTGGACTGAAAAACCAGTACATAGTGCTGTTCTGAAAAATCTGTTTGGTAAGCTATGTGGAAGTGATAAATCACAAGTGCTGAATTTAGGAAGAAATTGTTTTCAATTTCAATTGCTCGATGATCAACTCAAGCACCGGGTTTTGGGCGATACTCCATGGTTGTTTGACAATAACTTATTGGTGTTGAGGGAGCGGAAAAAGGATCTGCGTCTGGGGGATGAAGCTTTCAGCATTTCCATATGGATTAAAGTGACAGAATTGCCAATACAGATGTCATATTTGGATGTGGGGCGTAAGATTGCTGGTTCTTTTATTTGCTGGGAGAAGGTGGAAGTGAGAGACTTGGGTTTTGATGGTGGCTGAATTTTCCGTCTTCGCGTAGAGGTGGATCTGAATGCTCCACTAAGGGGGGTTATTAAACTTCGCCTTCTGGGTTGTAAGAATGTGCGTGAATCTTTTCGTTGCGAGAAGTTGCCAATTTTGCTTTCAATGCGGTGGAATCGGACATCAAATTAGCTCTTGCAAAGACAGAAGGAACAAACAAGGGACTGTAAAGGATAGCTATGGATCATGCCTTTGAGCATCAGGAAGTTTAGGTTCTGTGGTTAAGGTTTTGGTTAGCCTAAATTGTCAAAAGCAAGTGCTCCGGGATGGTGATGATAGCTCGCCAGTGCCAGAGAAGAATATAGCCAACTACCTGTGGTGCTGCTGGAAGTCTCCTGCCGTAAATCAAGGGATGTGGCAATGTGGGTAGAGGGCAAAGGGGAGTCTGCTGCGGAAACGAAAATTGGAAAGGTGTCCATTTCGTAAGAGAGAATATGGGAGAAAAAAATCTCAACTACAGAAGAGAGGATGCTATCTAAATTAAAGGACTGGAAAAGCATGTATCACAAGCCACGAAGGAAGTTCTTATCAAGGTTGTATGATCCGCAATGCTGACATATGCCATGCAATGCTACCGAATCTTTTCAATAGTCTGTCAACGTTTAACCAAGGTGATAAGAGATTTTTGGTGGGGCACTGGGGACAAGAAACGGGTTTGCTGGTTTGAGTGGCAATGAATGTTTTCTACAAAAGATGTTGGTGGTTAGGGCTTTCAAGATTTAGAAGCAATAATTAAGCATCCTCTCTAAGCAAGCATGAAAATTTGAGGTCGAACAAAAAGGACTTTGTTATCATCTTTTCAAGGGAAAACATTTTCCAAATTGTTCGTTCTTGGAAGATCCGGAGCAAAAGAGATCTTCTTGGGTGTGGCCTAGTATTTTCTCAGCGAAAGCAGTGCTTAAGAAGGGTTGCATATGGTCGGTGGGTTCCAGAAATTCCATTCAAATATGGGAAGATCATTGGATACCAAAGTGGGAAAGACTGATAATGAGACCAACCAATACTCTCTCGGAGGTAAATTGGGTAGCCAACCTCATTGACGCAGAACAGCCATGCTGTAAAGTGGACGTTGTAAAGGGAATTTTTGGACCAGTGATTGCGCCAAAAATTTTAAGCATTCTTATGGGTCATCACCAATTAATGGGCAGGAGAGCGTGGGAGGCTAGTAAAGATGGGAATTTCCTTGTTTGATCCCCATATCATCTGGCTAAAGCATATTTATAGCAGCGGCATGGGATGGTGAATGAAAAGTGCATGGGTGTATCAAGTAATTTAAGCAAAGGTCACCAGATTTGGCACAACCTGTGGTGTTGTAAAGTACTAGGGAAAGTTCACCATTTCCTTTGGTTATGTATGATGAGTGCAATTCCAGTGATGAAAATTTTGAGAAAAAAAAGGTATGATGGTTGAAAGAGTGTTGTCCAAGCAGTGGTGAGGAGGTGGAGTCTGTCGAACATATGTTGTTCCGCTGCATATATGCCCAACTCGTTTGGAAGCTGTCCCCTGCTCGTTGGAGGGTCATATTTCTCAATATCAAACCTTTGAACGGTGGTGGATTGAGGTGTCAAGTTTGGCTGGAGATGGGGAAGATTGTGACTCGCGTTGAGAACTTCTAGCGTACATGTGATGGTGCATTTGGAAGGCGAGAAATGATTGGATTTTTAATAAACGAAGGTGGGAACCATTACAGGTAAACTAGGTAATTCCTCTGGCTGTGGAGAGAACCTCTGAGTTTTCCAAACCAAGGTTATATAGCACTGGATTTGTTGGGTAAGAATTGGAGGATCGGTTTGCGGTTTGGGTGGCTCCACTGGTGGGTACTCTAAAGCGTAATATTGATGCAGCATTCCAAGTTTAATTGTTTGTGACAGTTCTGGCGGGATTCTCCGGGCAGCCACCTTTTGCTTGGAATATATTTGTGAAGCATTGTAGCGGAGGCAATGATTATGCGTAGGGCTTCCAGTCTTCTTCGACAGTGGTCTTTCTTGAAAATAGAGTTTGAGTCAGATGCCCAAGTCTATTGTGTTTGCTACGTTTGGGTAACAAGGCAGCGCATTCATTAGCTGCTCATGTTATTCATAATTTACTTATTTGTGACTCTATTACGAATCTCCTGCAGGATGTTGTTTTGGAGGTTCAAGCTATTGTAATTTTCTTGTCTAATATTAATATTATTTCTCTTTGCCAGGTAAAAAAAAAAAAAAATCCCCTTACTTCAAAAACAGTGAGAAATTTAATGATCCTACATTGTAGAGAGAGACATGAACATATAATTGTCACAATACTCAATAGTCCATCTACTAAAATAATAACATGCATATATAAAGCCATTAGCGATTATGTACTTATCAAACACACAAAAACCCTTTGCTTCAAAAACATTAAGAAACTTGATTAATAATCCTACATTTTAAAGAGAGATATGAATCATACTTTGGAAATGGATTCCAAGTTCTTTCCTTCATAAGCTCCCAATCCACGAGCATCCAGAAAGCTGTATTCTGGAACTATATGACTATGATAAAAAGATATTAAAACACTCGTCACAATTAGAGCAAGTAAAAGTATCATATGTTAAATATATATTGCAATTACTAACATCAACAATGTCATACAACTTATTATAGACTTATAGTCCTCACTAACCAAATTTAACATCTGAAACTATAGTACACAAATGAGTTAAAAATTAAGATTCACACATTCATGTCCAAAAAAATCCACTGATCCTTAGAAACCCATAATTAATTATCCCCTTTTAATGAATCAATCATTCAATTGGTTGAAATTGGTAGTAATTGGTTTACCTTCGATTAACCCCATTCACAGCAGCAATAATCTCAGCAGCCTGATAAGCTCTCTGAGTAATAGAAGGCCAAACCCAACAACTTCCTTCACAAGCCCCCATTGCCTTCAGATCAAAAGCCGCTCTCACCGTCTGCTTCTTCCCTTTCCCCGATAATCCGTTGTCCATAGACGTTTTCGCAACTGGGTTGGTGTTGATTATCCCCAAGCTCTCAAATTCAGATTCACCAGCTCTAACCAAAAAATACCTATACCCGTCCACCCACAACAATCAAAATTCAAACCCATTCAGGTTGCGTTTGGAGCACCAAATCGGCGGTTTAGAATTGCAATTGGTTGAATTTAATCCAATTCCCATTCCAAGACGTTGATTCGGTGCTGTTGACAAAACTTTTATATATAGATATACAGGTATGCATTGTTTGTGTATGAATATATATATATATATATATATAGGAATTACCGATTGGTGAGTCGAACTGGAGGCATTTGGAAGAGACCGCGAGCTTGAGCGATGGATATGGAAAATGGGTTTGGAGAATTGAGGTGAGTGAAGAAGTGGGTGATGGATATTGAAAGTGAAGTGAGGAGGTGACGGCGGTCAATGAATGAGAAGGATTTGGGGACATGTTTGGGGTTTGTAGGTGGAAAAAGAGATGGGTGTGGAGAAGATGGAGGTGTAGTGCTGGAAGCAAAGGTTTGGAACATTTTTCACTGTTTCGGTGCAATAATTTCAATGGAGGGGAACTCAGATATCTGAAGTGCTATGGAGGGGAACTCAGATATCTGAAGTGCTATGAAAAAATAATAATAATAATAAATAAATTATCTAGTCAATGAGTATTAAAATAAAAATAAAAAATGGGTTGCCTACTTTAATGGCAATATAATTAGAGACTTCCGACTTCAATTTTCAATTTTTTTTTTTTTTTTTTTTTAAACACCAACAAACAAACCATATAATTCATAAAAAAATAAATAAAAATAATAATAAAAAAATACAGGAGGAAGAGTGTATCTAACGGTCAATACTCCACTCAAGATTGTTACATTTTAGGGGTGGATAGTGAATCCATGAATCCAATTCGTCCAATCTGTACCGATCAGATCAAAAAAATTGAATCCGTAGTTTACGGATCGGATCACAGATTAGGCTGTCAAAAATCCGAACTGATCCGTGAATCCGATCCGTGGCCAATCTGTACTATATATATATAATATTAATATTATAGTAATATCTTTACTTTTTCGTAACTAGCATATATATATATGATCTCCTAACATACCATACTCTACTTTTTTTGTTTTTTGTTTTTTGATAAGTATTATTCAATTAGTTTTATAATATTTATTAGTCAATCAATAGCAATGGACCACCGACTTTTCATTTAAACAAAACCTAAACCTAGCCAAAGATAAAAGAACTCAAAGCACTAAAGAAGAGCTGAGAGAAAAGCGATCGCCTCACCTATTATGCATTTAAATTGGTTTTATCTATGTTCTGTTATACATTTATACTGCTTTGTAAGTGGATATGAAATTGGTGAAAATAGACTATTTTGAAAAATTCAATCCGCGGATTGGATCCAATCCGATCCGTCATTTCACAGATCTGATCTGTTGGCTAACGGATTGGTGGTGAATTCAAAATCTCCCAATCCGTTGTGAGCAGATCGGATTAGGATTGATGCCTAATCCGATCTGATCCGATCCGTGGCCACCCCTAATTTGATTAAAAGAGCCTTCTTGCTCAGTAAATGAGCAGCTACATTTCCTCTGAGAGAAACTCAAGCAAAGAAAGAACCCATACATTACTTAAGAAGAGCCTTGACATCATGAAAAACCACCATCAATGCTTTAACAGAGGCCTACAATCTCATCACATGTTGATAATACCCTTCAATCATAACGTCAAGATAACCCCTCAGATGACCCAGACATTCTCCTAAAACCAGGCCCTTAACAAGCGAAAGATCATTGACATTAGCCAAAAAAAATCTAAGCAATTTTTGATAGGCTGCCCAAGATGGTTTCGAAGGAGCTTAGCACCACCACAAGGTCTGTCTTGAAGAATTATAAGCAGCATCAAAGTTAAGTTTGAAGCAACCTACTGCTTGCACCACCCAACTCGAAGAGGGAGAAGCAATAGAAGAGAGAGGTAGAGAGAGTAACCGGTGTTGGCAAGAAATCTCCTGAAATTCTTGAAAATCTATGAACGCCTTCTAGGCAACATCAAGTTAATGGATCCCATCTTTTCTGTTTAAAAATAAAATTGTTTCCACATTTCCAAATGGTCCAACAAATAAATGTAGCTAGGCTTATATAATCTGCATGAGCCTTTGAAGAGTTCGAACGCTTTGGCCAAAAGGTAGGACTCTGACCATCGAAATTGATCCTAAGAGGATTAAGCTATTAAAATATATATTATATATATGTATTATATTCTGTTTCCTTTTTTCCTTATTTCTTCCTTGATTTACTCCTTGATTTATTTATTTTCCCTTCTTTCCTCCTTGATTTATTTATTTTCCCTTCTTTCCTCCTTGATTTATTTCTTTGTCTGTAACTTTATTCCTATATATTGTGTATCAATACAATGAAAACATATCAAAGTACTACAAGCAATAAGAGAAATGTAGCCTCAGTGGCTCTTGATCTATGAATGTAGGCCTTAGTGCCGAACCATGTATATGTTGTGTTCTCTATCTTTCTCTCTTCCATCTTCCGATTATACATCTTATATTTTCGCATCTTAAATTTAACATGGTATCAGAGCAACGATCCTAGATCGTTTGCACCAAAGTTTACTTGTCTTCTCTATGGCTCTATTTGGAGATCTGCCATTTTTTTTCCCTTTCCTTTACTGATTGCAGAGAGCAGTGAAGGAGAAGACAAGTAAAATCTAATCCGTTTCTAGTTCAAATCTCTCTTCTTCTTTTTTTTTCCTTTTTCGATCAACCACGCGTTTCCAAGCGACGTCCTGCACCGTTACGCGCTGACGCTCTTGCGAAATAGATCTGACTCGTGCATCACTGCCCACGGATCTGACTCACGCTACACGCGCCGCACGCTCCTGTGAGTAGATCTCACTTGCGCTACACACGCCCACACTTTCCTCCTTTACCGACAATAGTCAACCCTCCGAAACGGTAACCGACTCACCATCATTTCAGTTCCTAGTCAGAAAGAGGTTGTTTGTGTTCTAGCCGTTGTGAGGTGTGTAATCTCCAGCCAAGTCCTTCGTTGCCACTCTCCACGTTTTAACGCATTTTGCTGCCATTGTTACGTATGCTCAATTTGGCGAATATCTGGCGTTATCTCCGAATTCGCCTTTGGTTGTAAAGGCTTCCTTTGCTTTACTTACAGTCGCCGTTGGCGACACCTCTCATGCTGGCGATCTCATTCTTCCATCACAACGACTATTTTCTCATTCCTTAGTTGGTTTCCACCACCTGAAAAATTTTGGGGCAGTGTTTGCCTTATTTTACTAGGTTTGTTTTTGGTGGGGTTTGTTTTTGAGTTTGTAATTTGTAACAAAAAAAAAAAAAAAACCCGCCCATTTTCTCTGCTTTGTTCTGACCATTTTCTTGACTTTGTTCCAACCCATTTCTCGGCTTTTTTCCAACCCATTTCCCAACTTTGTTCCGGCATTATTCCGGCCTTTCGGATACTTTTCGCTCCACCACCATTTTCAAGATTTCATCTCCAAACTCAAGTTGGCTTCGAGAAATCCATCTTGAGTTTGCGGGAGAATATTGAAATATATTTTATATATATATATATATATATATATATATATATATATATATATATTATATTTTGTTTCCTTTTTCCCTTCTTTCCTCCTTGATTTATTTGTTTTTTGTCTGCAACTTTATTTCTATATATTGCATATCAATATAATGTAAGCATATCAAGTACTACAAGCAATAAGAGAAATATAGGCTCAGTGGCTCTTGATCCATGGATGCAGGCCTTAGTGCCGAACTATGTATATGTTGTATTCTCTATCTTTCTCTCTTCCATCTTCCTATTTTACATCTTATATTTTTGCAGCCTAAATTTAACAAAAGCTTCCATATTGTACGAACAAATAGGAATGTACAAAGAAGATGGTTTACAGTCTCAACAAAGGTTTCACAAACGGAATAGCAAGACATCTCTGAAGAACCTCGCAAGAAGAGCATCTTATTTACTGGGATTTTCTTACGAAGACTTTGCCATAAAAAATAAAAAAGAAGTAGAATTTTCCAATGGGTTTTAACAGACAACAACTTTCGCCACATATAAATCCTATCAGCATAAAAAATGCAGCCTTCATTGGGAAACAAACAAGTTTGTTAAAAAGCAACTTGATATACGCTTTTGACCGATAAACTACCATCATTTGAGGCATCACTAATATTATAGATATCTCTTTTAGTAGTCTTTTTTTCTTTTCCTTGGCAACAACAAAACACACACACACACACACACAAAGGAAAACTAACAACTAACAACACCAACATCTTGCTGACGTAACCAATATATTAAAGGATGGATCAAATAAAAAACCATATCTTAATCCATTTCACCTCTCGACAATCCTGCAAGAGTATGAGTCACCCGATTACCATTACGTCAAACATGAGAGATTGAGAGTCGAGACCCATGAAAAATGGTTTACTTATGTATAAATGTCATATTACAGAGAGGAAATCTCAATGGAGCAAGAACTCTCCCCAACCAACGCGTCCACCACCAACTTTACATCTGATTCATGTTGTGGAAATTCTACATAATTATAGAAATATATAAAGTATAATATTTATATAAAATGATTCAAGATAATGAACAACAACACCAATGAATAATCAAAGAACAATTCTTTTATTAAACTGTATAATACATCAATTGAACAACATGAATGTAATGATGAACAAGGATTTAACAACATAATAATAGAAATTATGAAATGAAAATAATATTAAAAATAGGTAAGAAAGTGCTGGCCTGATTGTTCAGGCATGTGTAAACACATTGACCTAAAGTTGATAGTCCTTCCCTTCATGCGGGTATTGGCAAAACTAGTCAGCTCCAAGATATAACCCAATCATCTCGCAATGGTGTCTCCTTCATGTGCACGACCACAGGAAGACTAGGTCCAAGTCTATATAAATTTAGTTACTCATAAACTCAATATGTAAAAGTACTCTTAAGGAAATAGGCTCACAGCCTTATACACAAAATTATACAACATATCACTCTACCATATATCACTCTTTCTAATTACCATACACATAAGAGATATATCTAGAGAGTAAATATGAAACATCTAAGGTAATATAATAGTATAAATAATGATTGAAATAATACACCCCATAAATATTATTTAACTCATGTAATAGTGATTAATATAAATATTATGTAACTCATATAATAATATTTATAATAAATAATTATATTAAATATTATTTATATTTTTATTAAAATATCCATAACAGTCCCCACTTATTTTAATAAAAATAAGAAAAATAATATTGAGCAACTTTATACTCTGCAATCGACGTAGGTGCTTTCTAGGCTTGAACCTACAATTTGTGTGATAGTCTCCATTTGAGGAACCTAAATGAACTAAGTCTTGAATTCAGTCCCTTGAGCCAAACTTTAACATACCTCACACATAGTATTGACAATAGACTTGGTTTGGCGGGTTAGCGCGATTAATGGCCATGCGCTGGTATCTTGATTCTCATGAAAGCTCTAGGGAGCAACCCAACTCCTGTTGTTGCGGCCTCATGATGACTTTCACTTAGGTGAATCCTC